GAGTAAATATTTACGTGAGTGCAAGAGGAGGTTTTTCTCCAGGTGAAAGTAAAGCTGAGCGGCTGGTGGGCGGCGGGTGAAGGGAGGCTGAGAAAGGAGTGAAGAAGCCGGAGAGAGAAAACGGGGAGGGAAGAGCCTGGAAGTGGGACAGGGAGGGAGCCTCGTTAGTGAACGCAGACCGGGATCGCTCTGGGAACCTCATTGCATTCAGGACAATTAATGCAAACGAGCGCTTTAACTGAACTTGACGCTTTGCTACAAATTAGCCGCTGGGTTTAAAGAGAGAGCCGTGCCGGAAACCCTTCTCTCGGGGCGACGGCGCCCTGACGGCAGGCATCATCTCGGTGCTCGGTAATCGTTAAGTAAGGGGGTCTCAGCAGCAATAAAGGGGGTTTTCAGACTTTGTCTGGGACGATGTAGCTGGGGCTGGTCCGGCTTGGAGCAGGGGGTTGCACTAGACGTGACGCCTGAGCTCCCTTCCACCCTCGTGAGTCTGATGGAGCAGGGTGTCAAAGATGCAGCCCGTGCGCTGGATCCAGCCCATCATCGGGCCCCTGGTGCTGCCTGGGGGCAGGAGGGGCAGATCCAGGACCCACGCCTCGCCTGAGACCTGCCCTGGCCAGTGCGGCACATGCCATGTGCCGGGTCGGTCCGGACCACACGTGGGGGCTGGGGGGAGAGTCGGTGGGTCCGATCTGGTCCGTGGGCCAGCCCCACGCTGCTCATCCACCCAGATGAACTTGGCCCCCCTGTTGTAGGGATTAAAACAGGCAAAAGACCAAGATGGAAAATGATGCTAAAAGGGGAAAAACCACAGCAAGAACATAGACCAAATCCCAAATGTGCTCCGTGCATTTATTGAGTTAGTGAGTTGTGCCCTGCATTGATATGCCTTCCTTCCTAGAAAAGGCTCAGGGCGACTAGCAAGGAGAGGCGTGTGCTGTCCTTCCTTTATCCGCCTGCCTTGTGAAACGTCTAAGCGCGTGGGCGGGTTTCATCTGGCCGGGATGTGCGACTCCAGCGGCCGTCACGCCAGGAGCTAAGAGGGTGTCGAGGAGATTGGTGCTTCCTGCGTCACGGTCCAGGGCTGCTTTTCGTAGCTTTTTAAGGCCGTGGCTCCGGCAGCAGGCAGCGTGCCTCCCCACCCTGTGCAAAGGTGTGCGGAGGTGGGCTTGCACGTGGAGGTGGGCTTGCATGCGGAGGTGGGCTTGCACGCGAGGTACCTGAAGAGGCGCGGGGAGCCGGTCGCTGGCCTGCTGCTGCGTGGACGAGAAGTCAAAACCCGAGAAATTCTCACGAACTGATGATCTGCGGTCGGGGGGATCGTGCTTTTGCTTGTCGATGCTTCAGTCTCAGAATGGTTTCAGCTGATTTACTGTGGTTTTAAAACCTCTTTCAGCATAGGGAGAACACCCTATTTACTGGGACCAGAGTGGAGGGTTTTTTCCCCTTATTTAACGCGGGTGGGTGGAAAATCCCTTGTCTTGGATTTGAGTAGAAGTGGGGAGAAGTGGGGCCAATTGCCTCCCACCCCCCACCCACTGCTGCCTGCCCTGGTGCAGCTGTGGAGGGGACGAATGTAAAGCACCCCTCAATACATGAACTACAGACATGAAAAATGATAACAAATATAGATGCTTTCCATGTCTAGCATCTAATGATAGGGGGTTGTCTTAAATTCAGGGTCATCTTGGACTCGAGGGAGGATGGGAACGTTTCTCAGCAGAAGCAGGTTGTGCAAATGAGCTCAGAGCAGGAAGGGGCCCCTTTCCCACCCGTGCGGGAAGTTTCCATGAACTGGCATTTCCCGATGAGAAGACATTTAATGGAAGATTCCCAGTCCGCTCCAGTCACGATGGGCCTGGCTGTAGGCGTTGGCTGCTCTAGGAGCAGGGGGTTGGCCCAGACCCTCCTTACCAGGGATCCCCATTTTTACCTCTGACATTTGGTAAGTCTGGGCTGGACGAATGGACTGTACGGTAGATAGAAAACTGGCTGGAGCATCGGGCTCAGAGAGTAGTGCCCAATGGCTCGATGTCTAGCTGACAGCTGGTATCAAGTGGCGTGTCCCAGGGGTCGGTCCTGGGGCCGGTTTTGTTCAATGTCTTCATCGGCGACCTGGAAGATGGGATGCAGCGCACCCTCAGCAAGTCTGCCCATGACACCACGCTGGGGGGAGCAGTAGAGATGCGGAGGATAACAGGGCTCGGATTCGGTGTGACCTCGACAAATTGGGCCAAAAGAAATCTCCTGAGGTTCAACAAGGACAAGTGCAAAGTCCTGCACTGAGGAGGGAGCGATCCCCTGCACCGGGGCAGGCTGGGGGTGACGGCTGGGCAGCAGCTCTGCAGAGGAGGACCTGGGGAGACAGGGGACACTAAGATGGATATGACCCAGCAGTGTGCCCTTGTTGCCAAGAAGGTGAATGGCATCCTGGGCTACATCGGTAGGAGGTCAAGGGCAGCGGTGCTTCCCCTCTGTTCAGCACCGGGGAGGCCACATCTGGAGTCCTGTGTCCAGCTGTGGGCCCCCACTACAGAAAGGATGTGGACACGTTGGAGAATTGGCAATGAAGATGGTTGTGGGGCTGTGGGGACAGGACTGGTGAGGAGAGGCTGGGAGAACTGGGCTGATCGAGTCTGCAGAAGAGAAGACCGAGGGGGATTGAATAGCAGCCTTCACCTCCCTGCAGGGGGATGCAGTGAAGATGTAGCTGGGCTGTTCTCAGTGGGGGCAGATACAGGACAAGGAGCAATGGGCTCATGTTGCAGCAAGGGAAGTTGAGGTTGGAGATTAGGAAAAACTTTCTCACCAGGAGGGCGGTGAAGCACTGGAGCAGGCTCCCCAGAGAGGTGGTGCAGTCTCCATCCTTGGAGGTGTTTAAGACCCAGGTAGACAATGCCTTGGCTGGGATGCTGTACTTGGGGCTGGTCCCGCTCGGAGCAGGGGTTAGACTAGATGTGACCTCCTGAGGTCCCCTCCAGCCCTTGCCGTCTATGAGTCTGTGATTCTCTGATTTGAACAGTGACCGATCGCAGAGACCTCCGCGCGCCTGTGCACCAGCACCCCCATGTACAGGGATTCCTCTGCAGCCTCCGTTCCCATCAGTCCAAGCCCAAGCCGCCCTGGACAACAGGTCCAGGAGCTGCCCCCCAAGCTGAGCAGGCCGCATCCAGACCTTGTCCTGAAGCACAGAAGCGGTGCATTTGCCCCCATAGGTGAACAAAGGTACCGCTACTCGTGAACAGCCGGCGCCCTGGGCTCTGCAGGGCTGGCCAGGAGCATGCACGCCCCGTGCAGGGCCGGCTGGGTGGACATCGCAGAGCAAGCTCGTCTCTGAAGGGCCGAGGGGAACAGCCTGGATTTGGAAGCTCCTGCCAGGCAGCACGTGGGTGAGTGCCGCTCAGCCTGCTCTGCCAAGCTGCCCATCTTCGGGCTGTTGCTGACCAGCCGCGGCAGCCCGGCGCGTCTCTGGGCGTGCATTAGGAATGGGGACAAGCAGAGGCAGACCCAAGTGTCTCGTTGTAGCCTCCCTGGCTCCGGGGGTGAGCTCCGCGTGCAGGGGCGTGCATCCAACAGCCGGGCAGGGAGCTCGGGGTAGGGCTCCTCACAACACGCATGTGCGGGTGCATGCACATGGATCCATCATGCTGCAGGATCCCTGAGATCCACAGGGATCGGGGCCGGTCTCCTGAACCTGCACCAGCTCCGCGTCCAGGAGAGTGCATGGCCCGCACGGCGAAAGGGAATGAAGTGCAGAGGCGCCCCTGGCACGCCGTGAAGGTACCCCCGGCCCAGCTGTCTGGGAAGCAGGTTTCGGGGCCTAGAGTCTCCCCTTCCTCCCACCTGTGTGCGTTGAATTTAAAAAAGCTGGGAGGATGCGTGGCACCAAGTGGCCCGTTGACACTGAGCCATCGCATCTGCAGGGAGGAAAGGCTGCTCTGACCCTCTTACATCGCGGGGTCAAACTTCCCATGCCTTGGGATTAGGGCATCTGTGCTAGCTGCAGGCATCGAGGGGAAGATGGGAGTCGCAGGCATACCTTGACTTCAGCCAAAGGATTATGGGTTAAAATGCATAATCGATCCTTGAAAAGCTGGCAAAGTGCTAGCGGTAATTAGCACCTCGCTGGGCTGGCCTGCATGGGATTGCACCTTGTGTTGTTTTCTCCTCCGCGTCCTTTTGAAGTGCAGATCCCATCATCAGCTTCTACTTTCATGTGCAAATTTTGCTCACCTGATTTAAAAAAAAGACACCCCCCTCCCCAATCCAGCCCTCTGCCGCGCTGAATATTTATCCATCAGAGACTTTAAACCTCCCGCCCCAGCGCCGAGAAGAAGCCGTTTCCAGCCAGGAGCCGATTGGGAATCCGAAACAACTCCGTGTGGTTTTTAATGTGCTGTTTGATACACCCCGGTCGTTAAGGAATCACGTCGTCCTGCAGCTGGCCCCGGGACCACGCTGGCAGGGGCAGGGCGGCCTGCTCTTTCTGGAGACGGACCTGGGGCCTGTCGCTGCCCGGGCTGGCCTTGCAGGGCCCAATCCTGCACGGGGGCTGAGCCCCAAACCCTCCGAGAATAGGAAAGCATCCGCAAGACCCTGCAGAATCGGGCGAGGGAGTCTTGATTCAGGGAAGCCTCCTGCTCCCGGCTGCCGTGCATTGCTCTTGGCACCGCACTGCACTTAAATCCAGGATTGTAATGAGGTTTGAGCACAGGTTGAGAATGAAGGTGACGCTCCTGGGCTTTCCTGAGCAAAGCCAGCCGGGACGGTGGCGCTTGCCCGGCCTGCCCTTGGCGCGGCAGAGGGTTAACGAGCGAAAGGTGGCATCAGGCGGGTCCGGTCTTTGCTCCGCATCAGAGGCTCCTTGGCAGCTGCGTGCCCACACCCGTCTGCGGAGGCTGGGTGGCGTTCAGGAGGAAACGTTCAAACGTGGCGGTGGCATTTGGTCTGCGTTCGGGAGCAGGGAGCTCGGTTTCAAGTTCTCCAGGGGAAAGAAAAGCCCCGTTCTTGATTGAGCTGTGAACGGTGAAGCACCGGTGTCTCTGGGAATAGGGTTCGACGGCGGGGAGATCTTTCCTGTTCGAGAGGCACCGGGTGGGGATGGATTTTGTCCGCAGACGGGACCGGGCTGCGCGGTTTCACTGCTGAAGAGCTGTTGGGGGTCTCAGCGTAGCCTTTCCTTTCCTTTCCTTTCGGGCAGGACCGTCAGGTCACCCGAGCTGGACCCGCGCAGGGGCAGGTCGGACAATTGTCCCAGCTCGCTTTGGAGTTGGCAGCCTCTCGTCTCGGCGCCCTGAGCTCGCGCATGGGGCCTTTTGCTCCCAAAATCGATGACGATCTTATTGGTAAAGAGTTCGCCGAGATGTTTGGACGTCGGAACAAAACCTGCCCACATTGTTGGAACAAACTGCTTTGTCTGATAATTAGGTCTGCCTGTCAAGTTCATGAAAAGTTTTGAGATTTCAACTTTATGCCGAGTGAGGGCAGGAAAAGGTGGGGGGATCTCAGAGGTCTTCATAGGAGAGCGAACTTGGACTTCAATCCCCGTCCTCGTGCTCTGACACCTCCTCCCTCCCTGTGTCGCGAGCCCAGACAACCCAGCTTGTCTTCATTTTCCCCCTAGCCAACGTGATCTCAAATCCCAGATGTTCAAAACCCTCCTTGGGAAAAGCGCTAATAAAAACGGGCTTTTTCCCAAACTGGAAAGTGTTGTGAACACTCTTGATTTAGATTTTAATTTGCGATTCTATTGCAACAACGTGAAAAATATAAAGTGTTTTCAGCTGTATTTTCTCATGACTGCACGGACGGTCGCCCCTGCCTTTTCTCTCCCCCTTGCTGCCCCCTTTTCTGTGACAAAAAGGAAAAGGGCAGGAAATATGTTGAATCAAAACCCAGCCGGCTCAATACCAGTTTTCAAGACAAACCGTGCATATGTGAAAGCTTGCCCCTTTTTGCAAGTGGCCGCCCTTCCTCCAGCACGAGGCTTTCTCGGGGCCATGTCTCCTTCCCTGAGCCTATCTGCAGAGAGCGGCGGTAGTCACCTGTGTCAGCTTGAAGGTGGCAGGCAGGGTAGAGACCAAATAAATCAGAGGTGCATTAGCTTTCATAAGCACCGGCACTTCATCCGAGTCTACGTAGGGACGCGCCGTGGCACCCGATGAAGCGGGCGCTTGCTTACGAAAGTTTGTGCATCTCTGGTGTATAGTTAGTCCGGGAGGTGCAGGTCTCCCCCGCCTTTTGCATGCATCTGGCAGCATTGAAAGTGCAGAATTGTTAATCCCTGTTTCCCATCTGTTCGATACTGCCGCCGACGTGTGTCCAGCCAACTTTCCAAACATGCTGTAGGAGGGAAAACTGTTTCGTGTTCATGGATGCAATGCTTTTCATACGCTTCCTTAGTGCTTCCTCCATAGCAACAGACCCAGACGTTGTTCTCAGCTGAAGTGGGAGTCGGGACGGGGTCTGAGCCTCGTGCTGGAGCACAGGCGGGCTCTCGGGGCATTCACCTACGGCAAAATCCCGTCCCTGGAATCAGCACAACCTGCAGAGGGGACAGAGCTGGCTCGCGGCTCTGAGATGCCTTGCTGACCACGTCCTGTCTCGCAGGCTCAGCTCGTTTCCACGTGTGTTTGCAGATCGCCTCCTTGCTCAAAGACAACGAGCGCATCCAGTCCATTCAGACCAGCGCGCCCAACGACGACGACAGCGATATCAAGAAAATTAAAAAGGTCGGTCCTCCCCATTCTTAAATTATGTGCCCTTATTAAAGCCAGGTATATAGGCAAGCCTGGGTGCTTTCCCCAGGGGCTAACTCCCTTCAGAGGCACAACATGAGGATTTTCCTGGGAATTTATTATTTATTTATTTATTTATTTATTATTTAATTTATGCCCTCCTGGGAAGGAGGCATGTTCCTTGCTGCTTGCTAGTGCAGGGCATCGCAACCTTGGTTGAGTCGAGGCACCTTTCGCTAGCCTGGAAACACCCCTCGGGAAAAGCCAGCTCTTAGTTTTCATTCGTTTTTGGACTCGGGAAGAACAACAGAGTCCTTCTCCTGCTGGAAAGAAATCCGGCAGGCCGCACCAGGCTGGAGTGGTTTTTAACACAATGAATCCTACTTGAAATCTTGGGGGTTTTCTTGCAAATCATGATAGCACCGTAGGGTGTGTTCACCTTGTGTGGCACCCCTGCAAGGCTATCTAGGCACCCCTGGGTGCTGGGGCACCCTGGTTGAGAATCACCGTGCGGGTGTTGAACGGGGAGGGCTGCTTGAGCTGCCTGAGCTTGATGAACTCCTGCAGGGAGATGTGCACAGCTGCCTTGGAAATCATTCCTGCATGCACACCTTCATCAGGCACCACTTCTGCGCTTGGCAAGGGCACGGCACGAGGGTGGCCATGCCAGCTCAGCTGCAAATTAGCCACTTCCACCCTGATCCAGCACAGGTGAAGCCCCTGCCTTACCTGTGCAGGATTAGGACGTGATGCCTTGTAGTTGTCAGGCCAACTGTGTTGTTATGCTAAGAGGTTAGATAGCGGGCTTGTATGGGATGCTTTGGACAGAGCTGATTCTGCCTTGCGCAGGGCGTTGGACGCGATGACTTCTCGAGGTCCCTTCTTGAGAGCCACAGATTCATAGCAAATGAGGGACTTCAGGAGGTCACATCTGATCCAACCCCCTGCCCCAAGCGGGACCAGCCCCTGGCTGGGAAGATGTGCAGACAGACACTGCAGGAACCAGCAAAGCAACCTTGCGAGCATGAACTGTTCTTTGCAGAGAGAAAGGAGTCCCCGTCGGCGTGTAGCGGCCCGCTCTTGTGCTCCCAGCAGCAGCATTGCGGGCGGGTCTCTCGGGGTGGCTACGGCACACGCAGCATCCTTGCCATCGCCTCTCGGGGCAGGTCCCCTGCCTGGAGACCTGGTGCCGAAGCTTTGCCACGCACGTGGCAGGCTCCCGCTGCTTCTCGAGGGGTAGATCGCGGTGCGTTTGTGTGTATGGCGGTGTGTGGGGGTGGGTGCATGGATCTATGTATAGCCAGGGCTGAGTACAGATTTAGATGCGATATAGATAGCGCTCATCACACACACAAGACGCGAAAGCATTTCATGCAGCCGAGGTACTTGTGCCTTGTGTGTACTATGTTACGTGCGTGCATCCTTGCACGGACACCTCCCGGTTCACCCGTCCAGTGGTGAATGGCTAGGCAGGTTTAGGCACTAGGCAGGCTGGGTATTCCCACGTCCTCGTGGTCCTGCTAACAACAAAGGCTGCTCTGCTGTGCCTCTGCAAGGGCCAGGTCAAGAATGAACGCCGCCTCCTTTCATCCGCGAGGGAGACCGGCATTCATCTTTGTCGAAGAAGAAATTAGGATGTTGCTGGCTGTAAGAATGGCCCTTGAACTGAGCTGTTAATTGAGGAGCTTTGGGGTCCTTGCGCCTGCCCAGGTCATTATGCCGGCCCCCTAACGAGCTCGTTTGTGTGTTCACAGGTCCAGAGCTTCCTGCGCGGCTGGTTGTGCAGGAGGAAGTGGAAGACGATCATCCAGGACTACATCCGCTCGCCGCACGCCGACAGCATGAGGAAGAGGAACCAGGTGGTGTTCAGCATGCTGGAGGCCGAGGCCGAGTACGTCCAGCAGCTGCACATCCTCGTCAACAACTTCCTGCGCCCGCTCCGCATGGCGGCCAGCTCCAAGAAGCCGCCCATCACGCACGACGACGTCAGCAGCATCTTCCTGAACAGGTGAGCGCCGTCCCGGGACGATGCGGGCGCAATGCGCGTGGGATGGCTTGTAGCTCTGTCCTGCCCTGCTCCGTAGGGCTGAGCCCCCTCCCCATCCCGGAAGACACAAGCGCTGCAGCTGCGGGGATGTCTTGCATATGCCGTGTCCAGAGAGTGTCTGGACGGAGGGGCTCGCGGGCAGAGGATGGGGGGATGCTCTCTCTCATGGGTTGCAGGGAGCAGCAGAGTCTGAGGAAAGCTGTGCCCAGACCCCAGCGTGTCTCCAGCCTCCCTCCCTCCCTGGTCCTTGCGTTCTGCCCAAAAGAGAGGAGGATGCCCCTGCGTATTTCCTAGCCCATTTTATTCATGTAAATCCTCCGTGGGCTTGTGCGGGGGGTATCCAGGGGATGAGCCGGCTGCCTTGGACTCGCACGGCGACTGGGTGCCTGTGCCAGCGCTCCCTGCAGGTCTCCTCCTTTTCGGGCGGCTCTGGCTCTTCTACCAACCTGGCCGGGGCTCCGGGGACACTTCCTATCTGGCCACATCCCGGCCTTGCTTGCAGTGAGGACAGGCCTCTGGCTTCCAGTGGGGAGAGCATTAACCCTGCCTGCCCGCGCAGCAAATCCACAAGCGCCCAGGGGCCATGGAGCAACAACATGGGGAAATTTCATACAATCATAGAAAATGACCTCGGGAGGTCACATCTAGTCCAACCCCTGCTCCAAGCAGGACCAGCCCCAGCTACGTCATCCCAGCCAAGGCTTGGGGGAGCCAGGGCTTTAAAACCTCCAAGGATGGAGACTGCACCACTTCTCTGGGTAACCCGTTCCAGTGCTTCACCACCCTCCTAGTGAGAGTTGTTCCTAATATCCAACCTCAACTTGCCTTGCTGCAGCTTGAGCCCATTGCTCCTTGTCCTGTATCTGCCCCCCCGGAGACCAGCCCAGCTCCATCCTCTTTGCAGCCCCCCTGCAGGCAGGTGAAGGCTGCTATTCAATCCCCCTCGGTCTTCTCTTCTCCGGACTAAATCAACCCATTTCCCTCAGCCTCTCCTCACCAGTCATGTCCCCCAGTCCACGAACCATTTTCATTGCCCTGCGCTGGACTCTTGAACTTGTCCACATCCTTTCTGTAGCTGCGGGGGGGCAAAACTGGACACTGGACTCCAGATGTGGCCTCCCCAGTGCTGAATAGAGGGGAAGAATCACTTCCCTTGATCTGCTGGCAATGCTCCTACCCGGGGTTTGGACAAGAGAGCGAAGCTGCTGCCTCCATTACTCCAGCTGAGGACACGAAGCCTGGGGCAGCTGAAGCATTGCCCGGCGTGTCACCCCAGACGGCCAGGCACGAGAGCTGTGGGTAGGCGTGATGCTTCTCCATGCCAGAGGCCTGCACAGGGGACCCCTCCAAGAGGACATCCCAGGGCACGTTGCTCCCCCAGGCTGCTGGGGTGCAGGAAGGCACTGCTTCCAGTCCCATCCCGTGAGGGTTCCTGGTGGACTCCTGTCGCCTATCTGTCCGTGGGAGTAGCATCAAGTAGCATTGTCCAGATGTGCTCAGCGTGGCCTCAACTCTCTGCTCCCATGTCAGGCTCCCATGGGATGCTCGCCTAGCACTGCTGGACCCCAGCATGACATGTGGTCTGTCGCTGCCTCTGAAGCATCTCACCGCTCTGCTGATTCTGGCAGGGTGCCGCGGGGTGCGTTGTACCCTCCCCAGCCCTAAAAGCACTGAGCATGGTGTTCTCTGTGGGACACACCTCCTAGTATGTTGGAAACCAGTGAAACGTAGCCTATTTCTGCTGCTGTGGTCCAGGAAGACTGGAAGGGCAGAGATGGGGCCCCAACTGCAGAAGAGCAGCCTGGACCTCCAGACCTGCTTGGACCTGGTGTGTGGGTTTGGCCCATTATTGATGCAGGCAGCAGCGGCGGCTTGGTCCTCAACCTCTGAATGTCTCAGATGCTGAGACACGTCACACCTCGAGCTTTGCTTTGGGCCACCTTTCCCTCCGGACGTCCTCTGCACTGGACAAGGTGTGGCAGGCGAGCGACCAAGGGAGGGCTTCAGTTGCGCCTGAGCCAGGCGGGGGCCGCCCCTGTGGCCACAAGCCTGCTACACCAAAGAAAAACTGAAATGGAGGGTGAAGAAAAGAGGAGAGTGTGTTTTGGGGTCTCCTCAAAGGAGCTGTAACACATGTTTAGTCTTGGCTTCTGTTGTTGTGCACCTGCTGTGGTGTGTGCAGCAGGTTGTGTGCATGGAGGGGAGCACATGTCACTGCTTCCCCCGTGTGAAGGGAGGACCTGAGCTGGTGGGGCCTGATATCCACAGGTGCTGCCGTGCAGGCTGACATCCGCTGGCCCCTGGCATGTTCCTACCGATCTCGGTTCTTTTACCAGCTTCAAAACCAGTGGCGAGCATAGAGGGGTGGGAAGTCATTGCCCCTAGGCCATGCCTAGCCCAAACCTGAAGGGCCTGCCACACATGCAGATTAAACCTGGATAGAAACCAGCTATCAAGTTGTTGCACATTTTCAAGCACTAACTGCGCGTGTCTACACGTACTTTTACATGCGCCTAAACTTAATGCACATTTCCCTAATGCGTATTAAGGCGATGTAGATGCACATCTACACATCCACATACTAAGGTGCATTAACATGGTGTGCGGACCGACTTGGGACTAAAGTTAGTTAGGGACTAAAGTTGGTTAGGAACAAAAACTTGGAACTAAAGTTAGGAACTTGGGATGAAAGTTAGTTAGGAACAGGGATTAAAGTTATTCTCAAGTTGGTTGACATACACTGAGTTAATGTGCTTTTGCGCATCTACTTGTGCATTAAGGCGTTTTAGCTATGAGCACCTTAATTCAATACCTGCTTTTGCAGATATCAAATTTAGGCACGTATAGTTTAAAATCGCCATTTTTAAGGCGCTTTAAGGGTGTGCATGTGCCTTTAATGCACCTTAAAAATGAATAATGTGCCTTAAATTGGCATGTGTAGACACATCCACTCTGTAGCTGATTGGCTTTTTGTAGCTGGATGGCCATTTTTTATGGCCCTATCATTACTTTGCACACGTGGCCAATCTTATTTTGCACGTGTAAATGTATTGCATGCTTAACCAGCTAGCTGCACAATATATGTAAGGTGTGGCAGGGGCCTGAGTTCTGTGTAAAGGCTTTGCTGGACCCTCGGTCCATCTGACCCAGCTGGCTCCTGCTTGGTGCGCGGCCCATGTGGTCGTCTGTTCCCAGAAAATGGGTAGGAAAATACCCTGAGAGAAGCCCCCATGCATCCTGCCTAGCCCTGGGGTGGGGGGCTCAGGTGGATGGAAACTGTGTGCAATACCGGGGGTGACTGAAATAATCAGAGCGGTCCCAAGCACTCTGGGAACAATAGGTCAGAGCAGGTAGCAGCCGGGCCTGGCATGGGGGTGGCGACGGTCATTTATCAGCGGCTGCAAATTAAATGGAGACTGTACCTCGTTGTCAAGAAAGGAGATGAACGACGTGGCCTGAGAGGAGACATCAATCTCCTGGGTGAGGCAGAGGAGGAAGCCAGTGCGATGCCACCAGCATCCTGCCCGCAGCCAGGGGATGAGAAGTGTCCAGGCTCGGGAGTCCAGCCCTGGCCTTGCTGGCCACAGGACGGAGGCTCCTTGCATCTGCCTGGTCTGACCCCACTCTGCAGGCGTCGGGGACAGCAGGAGGTGGGGAGACACTCGCTCCACTGCTCACGGCCGAGCTGGGGCCCCGGTGCCATCAGCTGCAGGGACGTACAGACCTCACCAAGTCCGGTGCCGCAGGTGGCAAGGTACCAGTGAAGCTAACGCTGGATCTCATGGCCAGGCACCAAGGCCCGGGTTAGTCAAGGACAGTTGGGTCTGCTTTGCCAAAGACCACTGAAAACTGGCTGCTGTGGGATTATCCCGGGGAAGCAATGGGGAGAAACGAGGGGTTTGCAGGGCTGGACAGGGACAGAAGGCATCTGGGATGCCGAGCTGCCTCTGCCCCTGTTGCAGCAGACCTGAGGCTGGGAGCAGCAACAAGGTGCTCCAGAAATGGGTCCTTTCCAAGGGAGTTCCTCCGGACCCCTGCCCGTTGCAAAGGGAGGTGCATACCCTGCAAGCCTTGCCATTGGTGCTGCATGCTGGGTCTCTGCACTGGGGGTGGGGGCAGATTGGAGTCCCTGGGGGGTTCCCTGCCTGCACCCTCCACCATGCCCTGCTGCACTGGTCTGAGCTGGGACATGATGGGGGCACCAGGGAGGAGCATTGCCTGGAACCACTGCTCCACATACCCGCACGGGAGGACTAGCACCCCAGGGCACCAGCTTCTCCTTACTGCTGTAGTAGCTCTGTGTCGTCCTGGCCCTAAACTTGGGGGGGAGAGGCGGGTCCTGGAGCAGCTACACTGGCCCCACCAGCTGCCGAATTCACCCGTGTGGCACCAGATCTCTGAACATCTGACCGTGATAAACCGCTAGTGGCTGAAGTGGGGTGCGACAGCTGTGGGATGCCCTCTTTTCCTTCCCCCTGTCAGGAAACCCCCTTATGTTGCCTACTGCTGGCGAGTGGGGAGGTTTGTTTGCATGGCGAGATGGATTTCCCTGGGTTTCTGGGCGGGGGCTCAAGCCAAACTAAACCCCTGAGATGGAGCTCATTACTGCCTCGTTAGGTCCCGTGCCCAGCCAGAGGGTGATGGTGGGGTTGAGCAGGGTGGCATGTGGCATCTTCAACCCCGTCTTCCTAGAACCGCAGGCCTGCAAGGGCTTGTAGGGTTGCCCTGCTCCTTCCCGTGCCAAAGAGGATGCCTTGGTAGTGCTCGGTCCTGCTCCTCAGATGGTGACCCTGGCAGCCCATCTGTCTCGCTGGCTGGTGGCTTGAGCTGCTTTGTCCCTTGAGCTGGTCCCCTGGCCATGCCGGGAGGTGTTCCCTTCCACCGCCTCCCTGCGTGCCAGCTGCCCCCTCCCCAGCATGATGAGCAGGGCCTGACCCAGCCTCTTGACTCTGGGTTTCTTTTCCAGTGAAACCATCATGTTCCTGCACCAGATCTTCTACCAAGGCCTGAAAGCGAGGATCTCCAGCTGGCCGACGCTCGTGCTGGGTGAGTCCCTGTGGGGCCTTATTACATTTATCCCCCGTTCTCTCGCCAAGGCCCTTCCTCCCAAGGCATTCAATGGTTGTTCTCTCCAGCCGTGTAGATGCCAGGCACCTCTCTGTGGCACGTCGCTGCTGGCTGCTGTGCAAGGCACCGGCCTGTTTTGTTCCCAAAGGCAGGAGACCCTCAGGGGAACATGGAACGAAGTGGTTCTGCGCTCTGATGGCCGGGCTCGGGATTTTGCAAGCCAGTGACATGAAGGGGCGAGCTCCCCGGGGCTGCTCTTTTGTCCACAGAAAAGCCTTTGGCTACTAAAGAGCATTGACTGGCTCCCGGCCCTTTTGCACGTGCTTCCCTGGTGCATGCCGCAGCCGCGTCGTGAGGGAGAGCTCTGCTTTCTCTTAACCAAAAAAGGAAAACACAGAGGAAGCCCAGGCCCTTTGCTTCTCGCTGCTGCTTGTTTCCCCCTGCCCCAGGCTTGTGGAAGCAGCAGGATCCTGCTCTCGGGGAGGGAGGGCTGTTTGGTGCCAGCGGGGAGCTCTCCGGTGTCTCATGGGGTCTCAGCCGGCTCTGGGGAGCATGAATGCAAGAGTGGGGCTCTTTGCAAATGCCTGCAGAGTGCTCAGGTTGGCCTGGCAGAGGCGTGCCTGGTTGGGCAGAGCCCTGGCTATCCAACCCCAAACCACCCAGGGTTGGAGCCGGCGCAGGCCTCAGGGCCCGCCTGGCCAGGAGTAGAAGAGAGGTGCGTGGCACTGCCCTGCGTGGCCCTGCCCTGCCGGCCCGTCCCCACCGCAGCCGACCTGTTCGACATCCTGCTGCCCATGCTGAACATCTACCAGGAGTTTGTGCGCAACCACCAGTACAGCCTGCAGATCCTGGCACACTGCAAGCAGAACCGCGACTTCGACAAGCTGCTCAAGCACTACGAGGCCAAGCCCGACTGCGAGGAGCGCACGCTCGAGACCTTCCTCACCTACCCCATGTTCCAGGTGCGTGGTGCTCGCCTCGCACCCCTGCAGACCCGGGCAGGGCCTGCCTTTCCCTGCGCGAGCGCCCGGTGCCCTCAGCAACCCGAGACACTGGGGCTGGAAGCTGCCACCCAGCCGCCAGCCAGTGGGGAGAGCTGCATGCTACCACATGCCAGGGTCCTGCTGCCTTCTCCCTGTAGGGCCCAGATGGGCTGTTGGGGGTCCTAAGGCCTCATCCAGACATCCAGAGCCATGGCTCTCCCGGGAGAATCCCCAAGCGCACAGATGTTCAGGCTTTTTTTTCTTCTGGAATAAAAATGGCCGCTCCAGGAGAAAAATAGCCTGAGTTAAATCACTCCCAGGAGAATTTCTTATGGGAGAACGACATGGCAAGGGGAGCTCAGCCGGCACAGCCCTGGGCATGCAAAGCCTTGAGCCAAGGCAGCAAAGTCCCTTTAGCTGCAAAAGCGCTGAAGCCCCAGACCAGGGTTTGGCAGGGGCATGTCGCCTCCCTCCCCCCTCCCAGCCGGTGGGTGACCCAAACAGGGAGCCTGGTGCCTCCTGCTCTCAGAGGCCAGAAGAGGACAAGGAGCCTCCACGCCAGCACCTGAGTCAGGGCCAAGGGCAGGCGTCGTTCACCAGTTAAGCACTGGTGCTTTGCCCTGTGTGCCAGGGGCTGGAGGCCTGGCCGGGCTGTGATTGCTCCTGGCTAGGGGGGCAGTACCAGGCGGTGCATGGTGCAGGACTCTGGGGTGCATCTGGGGCAGAGGCAGCTCCGTGGGGCCTGGTGCAGGCTGGAGGGTTTAGCACGGGCAGCTCCAAGGAGCTGTGCAAAGTGCCCGGAGCTGCTGGTGTCTGCCTGACCCAGCCCGGGGTACCCCGGAGCCCCTCCTGCCCACGCCTCTCATCTCCCTCATGCCTTGGTTTCTGCTCAGATCCCCAGATACATCCTGACGCTGCACGAGCTGCTGGCGCACACGCCTCACGAGCACGTGGAGAGGAACAGCCTGGACTACGCCAAGTCCAAGCTGGAGGAGCTTTCCAGGTCAGAACAGCTCACGTGCGGGTCTCGGGTCTCTTCCTCAGAGGAAGGGGTCGGGAGTCCTCCAGCGCTGGGCAGCTCTTGCTCTGCTGACGGCTGGAAAGCACGGAGAGCCTGCGCGCCGTGGTGGGACAGTGCGGGCGCGTTGCGGTGCAAGTCCGGGAAAGCTAAGGAGCGTCAGAGCAGGTGATGTCCAGAGCAGCACCGGCCTCTGGCCCTCGAGGCGATGGCTGCAATTGCACGCGGGTTGCATCGCCGCTGGCTGTCTAACTGTGGCTCTGCCGGGCGCCCTCTGTCCCGGAGCGTCGTCTGTGCTAGGCAGAGCGCAGGGGAGGGAGGAGGGGGTCCGAGACCTTGGGCTCGCACTACCCTCCGCACGCCCTGGCTTGCTCTAGGCTGGGAGTCTCTTCTGCAGGCAAAATCAGCCCAGCTCCCGCAGCCTCTCCTCACCAGTCCTGTCCCCCAGCCCCACAACCACTTTCGTTGCTCTCCGCTGGACTCTCTCCAATGTGTCCACACCCTTTCTGTAGTGGGGGGCCACAGCTGGACACAGGACTCCAGATGTGGCCTCCCCAGTGCCAAATAAAGGGGGAAAATCAGCTCCCCCATCCTGCCCTGTCCCCTGCCCAGCACCTCGCTCTGAACTAAAGCAGTCTCCAAAGGAGTTCGCTTCATACCTGGTCTGGTGGAAACCTCTGGGCGCTTCAGATGCTGGGCTCCCAAACCACTCTGAATTCCTGGGTCCCCAGGAAGGCTTTGTGCAGAGTTGGACCTCCTTCTCTGCAGTGTCTGTGGCCTCGAGGCCTCGGACCAGGGTCCCCGTGACAGTCACGAGCAATGGTGCGGCGACTGGAGCGGGGCTGAGACCTTCCAGCATCTCAGAAGTGCAAGGGCCGAGTCTGAATCCCTCCTCCTTTCCCCTCCCAGTGCCACCACGTAGCTCATGGCAGCCTGGAGGGATGCTATGGACAGTGGAGGGGCTGGAGCTCCTGGGTCTGATCCCAGCCCCGTGCCTGGGAGCCCCTGCCCTGGAGGAAGCGATCTTAGATAGGTCGCCACGGAGCAAGCCCAGGCCAAGTGTCGTGTGCTCCAGGGCACGTGTCAGGCTGTGGGGTGGGCTGCTATCCCGTGGCTTGCCTTCATCTGAACTGTACCGCATACAGCTGCCGGAGACGTGAACAGCAACCCTGCCCCGGTCTCAGGCAGGGCCGTGGAAGTCGCCCCCAGTCTCCCACGCTCTCTTCCCCTGCTCCAGGATCATGCACGACGAGGTGAGCGAGACGGAAAACATCCGGAAGAACCTGGCGATCGAGAGGATGATTATCGAAGGGTGCGAGATTCTCCTGGACACCAGCCAGACCTTTGTCAGACAAGGTACGGCCTCCGACTTCATCCCCCTCAATCTCCTCCCGTGCACATTGGGCGGGACCTTGCCTTTGCCAGACCCGGTAGGTGGGCTCTGGGCTCCCAGGGGTCCCCCCCGAGCACCCCCCTCTGTCCCCCGCTGCTTCTCCCCGCCACCCCTTGCTCTGTGCAGGCAGCAGCTGTCTGCGGTCTGCAGTGGGACCCAGGGCATCCTAACAAGGGCCTCTTGGCTGCATCCCTGCCCAAGCAAAGGAGGGAGGTGGGAGAAACCCGCACCAACCATTAGCACGGCAGTGCGGGACTCGCCTCGCCCACCATCACCTCCTCGGCAGGGTGCCGGGTCAAGGAGTGGTATCTGAGGGGAAGGGGCACTGCCACGGCCTGCCTGACACGCGTGGCACGTGACCGAGTCAGCTCCCCGGGTGGGATGAGGCGCCACGGACTAGTCACGGGTCCTGTCCCCTCTGCAGGCTCCCTCATCCAAGTGCCGATGTCGGAGAAGGGCAAGATCACGCGGGGACGGCTGGGCTCCCTGTCCCTGAGGAAGGAGGGCGAGAGGCAGTGCTTCCTCTTCTCCAAGCACCTGATCATCTGCACCAGGGGCTCGGGCGGAAAACTGCATCTAACCAAGGTGTGTCCTCCCACCCACGCCCCGGCTGCCCTGGACCACAGGGCTTGGGGGGCTCCCCCGGCGCGGCCCTGCTGCAAGCTACGGTGTAGGGGACCGCCCAGCGGTGGGCTCGGCCGTGGTGGAGCGGGTGGGCCGGGACGCTTTCGAGCCCGTCGCTCCTTGCGCCTGCGTCTGGTTTGTGCGGGGAGGGTTCCCGCTAGGTCTGGAAGACCCGCAAGCAGCTGTGAGCCTGGGCTGGGGCTGAGATTTCAGTCCACAGACCTGTGGCTCCAGCAAGCCCCACAACAGAGGTGGGAAGAAGCCCACGTGGGATGTCGGGGGAAGGACGGCAGGTTTCCAGTGAACCCCCAAAGCCACGTCCCGGTCAGACCGAGAGCAAAGGCCACGTGGCTGGAAATACTTTTAACTCTTTGTAATTATTCTTTTTTTTGGCTAAAGTGAATCACTGAATTTGGTCCAACTACCAATTTGCTGTGTGCTGGTAGAGCCGGAGGCCAGGCCCCCGAGGGGAAAAGGTTACCTCCTGAAAGTCCCCAAACCAGCCATCGGTTTAGCCAACACTGAAAATAATTGCCCGGCTCTCTTGCTGATATCTGGAGTTTGTGAGGTCCCCGGGTTCCCTGACATAACTGGAGATTTGCTCCGTGTATTTAAATGCAAGACTCAAGCCGAGTTCAGCATCTTTCGTGCGATGCCCAGTCGCTGACGAGCTGAAATGAGTCACGCGCTAAGACGAGAAATTGCAAAAGAAGTTACCTACGGTTTGCTGCAATAATATTGACAATCTATTCAGTGGGAAACGTTAATTAGAGCCAAAATTTGTGCATAACACCTCCGATCCGTTCCCCAGCCTCTCACTTTTGTCTGTGGATGTTTTGCAGTTAATTGAGCGCGAATCTTAGAGAAATTGTTCATTACTGGTGTGAAAGAATGACAGTCCGTGACAAAGAGGAGTTGATCGCAATGACAGAATTTGGGGGAATTCAATTTGCCGCTCGTCTTCAATCTTTTATAAACAACTTGCTTGATCAGCTGTACGGGGAAAATGGCAATTTCCTCATGTCTCATTATGCATTTTCTACCCGTCAAAACACGAAACGCGTCATCAGTGGGACGGGTGGCGATTTGTTAATAGGGTCTCAATAGGATCTTTGCTTTTCAGTAGAGAAGGAAGGCCCTTGTAGACTCTTAAACACATGCATGATTACTCGCCCGGGATCTCGCTGTTTCTATCTGGGTCAAAGTGGCTAATATAGCAAAAGGACGGGGAGCCCATCCATCTCCCTCCTGCCGAGCCCCGAGGGGTTTCAGCAGAGAGAACGGAGGCGCGTGTGCGCTTGTGCCCATTTCTCACATCTCCTCGGGTGCCTGTTGCTTCTCTCTTTCAGAACGGCGTGATCTCGCTCATCGACTGCACCTTGGTCGAGGAGCAAGAGAGCACAGATGAGGAAAGTAGGTATTAACCCCCCCATGGGCAGATCTAGGGTTTGGAAAAGGGGGGTGCAGATGGTGCGGCGCATCATTACCTGCAGCACAACACGTTTTCTCCAGTTAAAGAGAAACGAGAAGCTTTGCTATTATGATAGAGGGCCAGTGCTATGTTATTTGGGTTAAGATCAAAGCAGAAGCCAGCTACGGCTATTGGAACGTGCACGAGAATATACGTAAGGTTTAAAGAAACACAGCACGCCAGGCAAAAACTAGGCAAAGGATATTGTGTTGTTCGTCCTGCCGTCAGTATAGTTAAATCTACGTCTCATTCAGATTCACAAAACAAAATCTAGCCTCCTTGAGTGCCTAGACAGGGCCTCCAATACTGCACTGCCAGTCATTTCTGCACCTGAGTGACTCTGGCCATACCTCTCGGGTAGAGCTGAGAACAGCCGGCAGGGCTGTGAGATAAGAGAGAGACAGGGCTAGGAGCGGCTGAGAGACCGCAGCCTTGCAGAAGAAAAGATAGCTTCAATAGTGGAACATCAAGGCCATTAAAAAGGTGAGAGGGCTGTTAACACCTGTGGAGTGAAGAGAGATTAGCAGGAATCAGATTGCTGATAATGAGCCATGAAGTCACTGCCTGAATAGAAATGCCGCAGCCTCTCCCAGGCAGTTGGTTTTGGAGTTTGGGTGGAGCAGGAAGCCAAGTGGGGCGCAACTGCACCATGCACCCCCAGGACTGCACCATGCACCCCCAGATCCACCCCTGTCCCTCTCCTGCCCCATTCCCTTGGCAACCACTGCTACCAGCCGTTCCTTTTGGTGGTGCCACCCCCTCGGGCCTGCTGTCTGTGGTGGGACTTTGCTCTCCACTCTCCTGACGGGAAGCCAGCGGAGGTGGCCTGTTGGGCTGCAGATAGCGAAGCCGTTTGGGCGTTTGCAGTGGAAGTGGTGCATTTGACGTGGGCTGGGCTCAGGCTGATGTCTCCGCATGGAAGGTCTGGAGAAGCCTCCTCAGGACCTGTCCCCCCGTGCAGTGAGCCATGAGTGGCTGCAGGAGAAGGAGGTTGCACGCGGGCCCGGTGCCTGGCTGGTGTCTCTGATGGCCAGTCCTCGCTGCCCAAAGCCAGAGCAAGGCTGGGCATAGAGGGGAAGGACTACTGCCCTGCTCCCTGGCTCTCAGTTCCCACCTCTCTCGGGGGGGTCCGAGCCCCAGTGGCTTTTGACGACTCAGGGCAGGTCCTGAGAGCTTTGCAGGAGCGCTCTGCAATGAATCCCTGGGGCCTGGACTATGAAGGGCAGAAGAGCTGGCGGAGTGGAGTCAAGCTGTGCGTGGCCTTTTGCACGCCGTGCTTCGCCTGCGGGAATCATCGGGGATGTTATTCAGCGGGACCAAAGCAGCTGGGCAAAAGCCACCTTCCCTGGGCAGCCGTCGCATGTGCTGCAACGAGGCTGCTCTCATGGCAGCTGCATTGTGAAGGCTGCTCTTTTTCATCCCCGTTAAAAATTGCCCTCTGGAAACAACGGTTCTGGGGCCAAATCCTGCCCTCCCTGCCCTTCTCCATGATGTCCTGAAAGCTCACACCAGCCAGCAAGCCCCGTTTCTCCTCCAGAGAGACTCTGGGTTCAGCCCGGCTGCACGTAGAGCCCAGCCTTGCCCAGCCGGTAAATAGCCGCGTGGTCTGGAAATGCAGGGCAGCTGCCCGGGGGTAGGTGGGACACCTCAGCATTGTACAGAGCCCGGGAGAGCACCCTGAGCACCGACTCGGGCACGGGGGACCCGAACGGGCATCCCGGCACACACAACCCTTTGTGCCCTCGCTGCCAAACCAGACACAAATGCAAATGGGGTTTCTCCTAGTCCTGCCATGTTGCTCTGCAGTGTAAAATCCTCCAGGCTCACTGTGCTGCCCATGTCATAGCCGTGACGGTCTGCCAGATGTGCACAAACCCAAGTTTGCTAGGGGCTGGCGGCACCTCTTGGCCAGATGCCCGATGAGCTTTGGGGCCAGAGATGTCCTCTTTCAGGGCTAGGAAGGGAGCAGAGATAGCCGAAGTGCAGGGCCAGGTAGAGCAATGCTGGCCGTGTCAGTGAGTGCTCTGTGTTTCCTTGTCCACGCCAAAGCGAAAGCATCGGGGCAAGACGTCGACCACCTGGACTTCAAAATCGTGGTGGAGCCCAAGGACTCGCCGTCTTTCACCGTCATCCTCGTGGCCTCTTCCAGGCAGGAGAAGGCTGCCTGGACCAGCGACATCAGCCAGGTGAGACCCGGCAAGGAGCCATGCGCCTGGCCCGAGGGGGGCAGCACGAGTTTGGGGTCACCCCGAGGTTCAGCATCCAGTGCCCTTTGCTTGGGTCCAGATTCAGACGCTTGATGCTGGGTGCCCAATCTCACGTGCACCTCGCAGGATCTCTCTGTTTGCTTGCACATGCGGCTGCAGCTTGCACTCAGTGTGCACTCATTTTGCATCGTGGAAATGGCTCAGGCCGGGGTTTGTCCCCCGCGGTGACAGGCAAGGCATGATGTGTTTTTGGATGGGGGGGAGCAGAAAAGTGAGTTAAATGGAAGCTGCTTGTGCATCAGTTCTCAGCCACCTTTTGGCCAGGCAGAGCCCTGTGGGCTTCGCTGAGGGCATCTTTTAACATTAGCCCTTTTTGTTGTAGCTTCCAGATTTAGATTTGTGGCGTGGCCACGTGGCGAGAAAAGCTTGGCTGTTGCAACGGGTGGGAGATGCCAACGTGTGCTACGCTGCACGTAGTGTCTAAAGGGGTCGCCCGGGATGGGATTCACCCTGGGCGAAGAGCTGAGCTGGGAGGGAGCCCTTCCGAACCCCACCCCCCGAGATGCTCGGGGTTTGTCTCCATCCTCCATAACAGCTCCAGTCTCAGTATGCCAAATCCTGCATCAGAAGAGCTGCCCGTCCATGCAGCTCCCGTAGCATCTGCACTAGAGACCGGGGCACTCGTGCGCACCCCGTAGCTGTTGCTCTCCGTACCGAGTTTGCAGCAACTGCATCTCATCTCAGACGGCCCCCGGCAGGTAACCTCAGTGAGACCCTTCTCTCCCGTTCTGCGCGTGTTTTCCAGTGCGTGGATAACATCCGGTGCAACGGCCTCATGATGAACGCCTTCGAGGAGAACTCCAAGGTCACCGTCCCCCAGATGATCAAGTAAGCTCCTTCCGCTCGGGGAGAGGGTCCGTGCAGCGCGGGCGCAGGCTGGCTGCGTCTGGCTCCGTCCCTTCACCGGCAGAGCTCCCCGCGACGCCGGTGCATGGATGCTGTTTCCCTGGCTGAGCGCCGCGCCTGACCGGAGCCAGCAGGAGCTCAGCCTGTATAATCTGCAGACGACATTAAACCCATTAAGCCTAATCCGCTGTTAATCATGGCTCACCATAAACCTCCCGCATCAGTGGCTGTCGGGCAAGTCTGCAAAGACACCCCAGAGACCGGCCACGCTGCGGTGGGGCTGGAGCGGCTGCTCCCCGCATTGGAGGGGCTGCCGCTTGTGTTGAGCCCCTGGATGGAGCAGGGGCCCGGGGCTGTTCTGGCAGCGGGACCACGCTGGGCTCGTGAAGGCAGGTCGGCCAGCATTCGTGATGCACGGCATGATGGCTAATGTGCACCTCCACCAGGGAGGGCGGCAGGATGGAGGAGGTTTGGGAGCCCCAGACCTTCCCCCAGCCTGCGGCACAGCGCTTGGCAGCCCCGTTGTGTCTGAGAGGGACATGCACGTGAGCCCCATTTCACTCTCATAGGAACATAGGGCCTGCCCTGTCCTGGGTCAAGCCTCGGTCCGCCTTGTCCAGGCTCCTGCGTTGCACGGTGGCAAAGCGCGGAGGCTGGAAGGGAGAGCAAACAGGGTTTTCCCCTGTTCCTCTCCCATCTGCAGCCTCCAGCATTCAAGGCTGAGGGAGCCGTGCCCTTCAGTCCCATGCTCAATAGCTTCTGATGCCCTTTCCTCCAAGCAGGAGTCCACTCTCTTTTTCTCCTGAGCCTTGGCCCCTTGCCTCCTGCAGCCGCCCCATCCACGTGGCTGCAAGCTGAGACCCAGCAGGGCACCGGCTCTGCTTTCCCCACAGCCGTGGGCCTGGGCCTGGGCCGGGGGGCTGTGCTGCCTTCCCCAGGGCAGGGCAGGGCGGCCGGCAGGTGCACGCACTCAGACCCCGCCGGAGAAATTCCTGC